AGATAAAACTACTACTTTTGTGTGGATAACGTAATTCTTGCAATTTTATATCTTAAAAGACTAAACAGTAGTACAATTCATAATAAATTTACCTAATTTCTATTTGCAAGCCTTTCTTCACTACTTTTTTTTTCCCCCCCCCTTTGTGACCTAGGTACGTATTCAAACTTGTATAATCACCCAACGCTTATTAAGGAGCCATCAAAGGTAAAATCATTAAACTTATTCTGAGTAACGACCTGGCTTGGGAAAACTTGAGACAAAAGTGGTTGTTTTCTCAATGGATATCTGTTTTTAAAAGAAGGAGGGAGCAGAAAAGAGGGTGGGGGAGGGTGTTAGCCTCTGGTATTACTTCTTCACTGAAGAGAGGTTTGGATATGTTTTTTTTTCTATTAGAAGGAGAATTGAGTAAGTTCAAAATTTCTGTAATAGCTAGGCAGAAACAGGGAGCAAGGAACTTACTTCCTTGTTATCTGTGATAGACCTTTGTGTAATCTGTCTCACAACCACATACTATTTTTTTTTTCTTGAAAATAGGCTTGTATTTCCCTTCTACAGTTTGAAACAATTTATTCTAGTTCTTTGGCCTTCCAGACATTCCCCATCATTAGCGCAAAGCTTGATGTTCCAGATGTGTGAGATTTTGAAAGGAAACCTTTTTCTTGAAAGCTTATAAAGGAATATTAAATGCCTACTTAAGTTCTTCTTTTTTTCAGTAAAATTTAAATAAAAGGGAGAAACTTTTTTTTTGTTCTGGGAGGCCAGATTCTGTTCACGGAGTGTTGATTTCTTCCTTTGGGATTAATGTGCATTTTTCTGAGGGAAGAAAATACTATGAGGAAACTTACATGCTTATTACCACTAAATCTGAATCTAATGATTTTATACTGATAAGGCAGTGCGATGTGCACTTCTTGGAGAGAAAGCTAGGGACCATTAATACATACGCGCTCTCTATTTTAGCCCAAACCAATAAAAGTTTCCCAGAAGACCGGAATTCCCCTCCATATCTTGCCTCAGAAAGGTCTTACTGCTAGGCAGATTGAGCGCATGCAAATGATTAATGGCAGTGACCTGCCGAGAGCATCAACACAGCCCCGTTCCAAAGATGAGAGCAAAGAGGATCGCAAAGCTAGAAAACAGGCCATAAAAGAGGAGCGAAAGGTATGCCTTATTTTAAATAAAACCCTGCAAAAACATGTTATATTACCTGAATTCTGTCTTACGAACTTTTCTTAGAGCTCATTTGTTCTTGTATCTGGAAATTAATGGGAAAAACTTGCTGGTCTCAAAGGACTAATTATTGCTTCTTTAAAGAAAAATCTACTGGAAAGGAAGTTAACCTCATAATTTTGTCATCCTAATTTCCTATATGGAAATTTTGGTCTGTTATTGTGGCCATTCTTACGTATATAACTTTGGAAGGAGCCCATATATTTCCTTATTATCTAGGGAAGCAAAGAAAACAGTTACAATGTTTCAGGTCGCACAAAGTGAAAAGTCTGAAAGAAATGTGGAAAATCTAATTGGCCACAGTGATATATTAGTCATTTTATTTAGGAACAGAAATTGCCAGCATATTAGAAGCTTCAGCTAATTAAAGACTATAATCCTGGTGGTACACCTATCAATTTGACTACTAATAATTAGCGCCATAAATAATAATATTGTCCAGATTGCTGCTGTTTTCATGATTTAGAACTGTTAATTAGAATGGTTTCTTTTTGCATGTTATGCCTATTTTGTAAACTTGTAATTATTTGTATGCACAGGAACGCAGAATGGAGAAGAAAGCCAACAAGCTAGCCTTCAAATTGGAGAAAACAAGGCAAGAAAAAGAGTTGCTCAATCTGAAACAAAATGTTCAAGGACTGAAGCTGTCTTGACGAAACTGAGGAACTTACTGTGGAAACATCCTTAAGTTTTCAGTTGTATTGAGAAGGGAACTGCTAACTCATAGCTTTGCCCGTCATGCTCAAAGGGGGTTATTCAGATGTTGCTGTAACAAGAACCAGTCATGTGTCATTCTTTCTGAAATGAAGTTATACATAAAACAGTGTATTAGTGGTGTCTGTTCTGTCATGAGTGACATGGCAACTGTTGCAAAGTTTCATCACAGCAGAAATGTATTAAAATTCTAAAAAAATATTTTTCTTACAAGCTATCACTGGACAGAGTTTTATATATATTTATTTGTTGAATACATTCAACGAATCAGCAGAATCCTACAGATTTGATCTGATTAGATTTTTCTATTATTTCAGTTTACAAAGCAATACATCCATTCCTGTCTCCTCTCCCTTACACTGATGGTTAAATATAGTTCCTTGATATAGCACAGTTTTGTAAGTCAAGTTTTCACCTACTCCTTAGTTCTTTTCTGGGTTGGTTATTTATTGTTTGGGTACTATTATGAAAGATGTAAAATAAGATTTTGTAAACAGAGGTGTCTGAAAAGCTGTTGTGTAGCTAGACATCCCTGTTACCTGAGTTTTACATTTCTTAGCAAATAAAATCTGTCGCAGCAAGCGTTGCAGTAGTCAGTGACCCTTACTGTTGCCACTGAAATCAGCTTTGCTAAAAGTATTCGGTCTGAGTAGTATGGCAAACAGAGCAGCAGATACTTAGAAAAATGCTGTATGTTGCAGGTAGCCATTGTCTCGATTTTCCTGAAAAAGTGTTCTTCAGGCCTTGCATTCAGTTTGGTTTCATTGAAATACAAACTTATGTCCCACTGCAATTGCTGCAGACTCTGAAGATGAGCAGAGGGCCGGTATCTTTAGGCTTGGTGTGATCTTAAATTTCTGTACTGTGCATGTGAATTATTCTGATAGTGACCAGTCCATACGTGTGAATGAAATGAATAGGAGTGGTAGTCAATCCTTCTGAATCCTCCTGTATTCCTAAGAAACCCTCAGCTTTAGGTCTTTAGGACTATAGATGGAGCAATCTTTTGCCTTTGGGTGAAAAGTTAACCCTTTTACTAGTAAGGAACACAGTAACCAACACATCGGTGGAGTGGCTTGACTACTACTAAATTCAAAGCATCTTAAATATTCCTTAAATAGTTTTGCGAATACTAGATGGGAGACAAGCTACAGAAGGACTGATGAGGCCTTTTGATGTACAGAAACGATTCAAAGTACTTGGTTTTTATTGGAAGAAGTCTTTTATAATATATTTTAATTGATAAAGTAACATGGTTTTGGGAGAAGGGAATAAAGAGGCATTTAAGTGTATAAATCTCTTGATCAGTGCTCAGAAAACTGAAGCGTCAACACGGTATTCGCATCTAGATTAAGCCTTCATTTTCTAAAATTGTTCAAGAGTGTCTTAACGAAATCAGTAGAAATCGTCTAAGATGAGAACGAGTTTCAGGGTTTTCATTTAGCTGATATCTGTACTAGTTTTTCATATGTTTCACAGGCTTAGGCAGGGTCTGCCTGTGTCATAATTGTTAATTATGTAATTGCTGATGCACGGCAACTTGAAGTGTGAGCCTTTGAGTGATGGAGACTGACCACTTAGTCCTCATGACTCCTGACAACAACGCAGAAGAGGAAACTTGAGAAACCATTACATTGAGATGAGTCAGATACCAGGAAAGGAGTTAAACGGGACAAGTGAGTAACAGATGCTGTTCGGTGGTTTGGGTGGAATGTGATTTTGCGATGTACTGAAACGGAAAATCTTTTACTAAAGACAGTGCACGTGTTCTTTACTAGGCCTTAACTCATCTGCTGTTGCACGTGTCCAAAGTAACTAATCTGTGGCAAATTGTCCTTTTTCCTGACTTCTCACTGCTGATTCAGTGATACTGTGCTTGTACCTAAATTCCTTTAAAAAACAAAACAAAAAAACCCCAAACTGTATCAGACAAAACCTTGAGGGGATGAGAACAGAGTAAAAGAGATGGGGGAGGCAGAGGAAGACGCTTGAAAGGAAGAGTATAGTCCAGACTAAGCACAGACACACAGAAAGGCGTTGCTTGGGAACGGAAGTGGGAAGACATTTAAACAGAGGCAATAGAGTAAGGGTCAAAAAGGTTAGAGAATGGCTTTGCTCCTCTACGCTTGTAATCAATGAAACACTGTAGTAACCTTAACTCTGTGCCTTGGAGTATGGTAAAATCTGAAGGAAAAGGTAAGAAACAAAAACAGTCACACATCTGCTTCTGCTCGGCAAGACAAGGATTTCTTTCTTATGTTTCAGCAAGAGCAGGTAAGGAACACTTAAATGAGAGGTCTTTCCCTCTGTAGGTTACAAGTGTCATGAACAGGGCTCTCTGTTACTGTTCAAGTTTTCCTAAAAGCTGTTTTTGTTTAATACAAGTAATGTCCCTGCTCTGAAACAAGAATATGTGACTGCCATTGGAGTCAAGAAGGCTTAAAACTACCTTCCATGTAACTTAAAAACCTATTTTTTAAAAAAATTACTGATCTAAAAAAAATCCCCACAAATTTGACATCTACAAAGTAAGACCATCTTGGAATGCTGTTTAGCATGTCATGGAAACGTTCAGTCTTAAGAATGCAGATTGTGTCACGCTTAGTGTGACACAATGCTACTTTCTGGAATAGTGACGGTTTACCCTGAGCCATTACTGGGCATCGCTAGCTCCTTCCTGATGACCCACAAACAAAATGGAATAAATCTGGGTGCAGATCGCCTGCTCTTCCTTTCCAGCCCCCCTCCCTCAATTTAGGCAGCGGTGACTTTGAGTCCTCTTCCATCATCTCCTCGCCCAATCGTGATGTCATTGTGAAAGGACAGTCATAAGGAAAACAAAAAGCTGTCCATCGTAGTAAAGGAGAGCTTGTGCTTCAGAGGAGCGAGGTAAAGTAAGGTAGTTCTGCAAAAGGGAGCCCTGGCGCGTGACTGTTGACGTCCCTTCCTGACAACAAAATACTGTTTCAGCAAGGGCTCCGTCCAAACGCTGACTCTGCTGTAGTCAAGCCGTCCTGTACTGTGTAACTGAGACTCTTGCGTGGTTTGAATTTTACACAGCTGCCCGAAGTCAAGATCTGGTTCCTTGCACGACCTGTGGAAGACATTTTGCACAAGATGTTCTGGTAAAACAAAACTTTTTTTTTTAATGGGAATGTCAATGCGTTTAGCTGAAAAGGGTGATGAGCACTGGGGAAGAAGGAGGTGGCTGCTAGTAAAGAAATGGGTTGAACACATGTTTAAAAGAGCAAATGATCTAATAACTGCTTTCATTAGTGAACTTGATTAGAGAATTAATGTTCATAAAAATATTGTGACTTAATCTGCAATCTTACGCTATCTTAACTTACCTGCTTGTCTGAAAACAGACGTTTACTATATATCACGTTTAAAATAACGTGTTATCTCTTGGTGAGACATAAATTACTAACCTGAAGCTTCCTTTGTATTCCAGATTTCTAGGCAGAACTTGTTATTTCAGGCTTCCTGGGAAAAACAGACTAATAAACCATCCGATAAGTAGTCCCTTTGACAGCATAATGTAGGCACCAGGCTCTGTTCCAAAGCCTGCTGAAGTGAATGAAAAGATTCCCCCTGACCTCCCTGATCCCTGGATTACAAACTAAATGGGTGGCTGCACAGTTTGCCTGGCACAACCCAACTGCAGGGTTTTTCTGCAAGGGGGGGGTTCTGCATACGTCCCTCCCCTCCTCAGTTTGCATTACTGATCCCGTGGCTCTGTGGTAAATCAGATCAGCCCCATGATAGAACTAAAAACTGACTTAGCAAACACCCCCCCCACCCCCCAAAAAAAAAATACGCTGAAAGCTGAGTAACTGTGAGCACTGAGATGCAGGTGGAACTACCCCGTGTTAGTAGTTCCATGTTTGGTATCTCAGACCAGACACATGAAGAACATGATGGTTTAATCTAGCAAAATCATTTGAAAAAATGTTATCTATGTTTTTGGGGAGGTGGGAATTTTATTGTCACTACAACTAGTGTGAGATGCAAGTCGTAATGCCTGTCCATGCCCCGATGATGCAGGACTGGTGTGCTCCTCTGTGAGCAAGGCACAGGTATCTGCTGCCCTCTTGGTCCAGCAGAAGAATCCTCCTCTCAAGTTTGCTGTCAAAAATGTCTAGAAACAGAAGATAAGGACCTGAAGCACATGAGTAGAAATGTTCAAAGGGAAATGAGAATGTGGAAATCCGTGTTGCGGCAGACTGAGGTGCCTGTTGGCCCAGCTGAGCTGTAACCAGAATGCCTGAGACGCTTCTGAATCTTAAAACCTCCTTCGTTGTAAGGTGTGGCTCTTCCACAAATTCAGCACTGGATATCTACCTACCTAAAATTTCCCCGTGCTTTCAGCTGCAGGTGTTATCCCTAGTTTTCCTTCTGAGTTGTCAGGTTACGTGCGCTGGTAAGCAGCTGCTCCCTTTCAGCCCAGGGCTGTCGCTGTTTCAGTGGTGCTGATGGGATGGACGGTGCTGCTGTTTGTCAGGGGAGACCCCAGCCCGGAATACTTCTCTAAACTCAAAGAACTGATAATGTAAATATCAGCCCCTTGAACAGGATCAGTCTGTTCTCCCTCTTAACCAAGAAAGAAAGAAAACCAAGTGGGAGTGGGACAGGAGGTGAGTCCAACGGGACTGTTCCTGTTCGCAGACCCACTCTTACTCTCTGCAAGTCGTTATTTGTGCTGGCCTCCAGCACGTCCCTGAGCAGAACAAACTGGAAATGGCTTCTATTTCTTATTTGTCTCAAACTGCAGCTGTACTTGGACAGCTTTTTAAAGTTTTGCTGAAGTCCTTCAGGAATTAAACTGAACCCGAAACAAACGCTGCTTCAGCTCCCTGCTCCTGAATAGAAGTAATTTTAAAGCCCGAGTAAGGAAGCATCATTAACAAAGCATGACTTCAACCCATAAACAACTGTTTTTCTTTGCATCCCAGCTGAGACATGATCCAATATGCAAGAAAGTCTTCAACAAGAAGCGCAAGCCCTTCAGCTCTTTGAAACAGAGACTGCGGGGAACAGAAATCACCACTGTGAAGAAGCAGCCCCCGCAAAAGGTATAGTTAAAATTGAAGCGTGTGTGTTATCTCCATATGAAGTCTTCAATTCAGTAACGCTATTGTTTCCTCCGGGGACAAAGCCTGGATGTTGTGGATGGGTCTCACATATGGGCTCGACTTGGTGCCAAATTCTTTCCTCGCCTTCCCTGTGCTGGTAGTGTTTGAGAATATTTCTCCATTCAGAAGCCAAACCAGTAGGTGTCATGACTACTCTGGGCACGTAAGTGTCTCTGCTCTTGCAGGAAACGTTCATGTATGTATTTTAAAGGCTTTGCGAGCCTCTGACAGCTTCCTCTTCACTTAAATCTGAAAGAGAGCGTGATCCAAGATGGTTGGTGCGTGAATGCCCCGGGTTGAACCTGAGAGCTGTCGGTAGCCCCAAATCTTTCACGGATGAAGCTACAGAGATTCACTGGTATTGAACTCAAGGGTTTAAAAATGTATTTAAATTGAACTTATTTACAGAGCTGGAGGGGAAGAGGCTTAAGCTCTTACTGGAACAAGGTTTTTTTCATGCATTGTTGGGGAGGCGGGGAATACACATGGACGTGCGTGTGTATAATTTTACCCAGAGATGCCAAATCACTGCTGATGTGGTATCCATGCAGACTGCTGTTCTAAAACGTCCTTTAAAATCAGTTGTGGAAAGAAACAGAAGTGCACAAAGGTTTAAAGAAGAAGAATAATCTGACAAGTGAAGGAGAAGGGAAGGCGTTGGTCATAGTGTCTTTTCTATTCCCTCTTAAGTGGCCTTTGGTCTGCCACGACCAGAGTGTTTTGTTGGAGGCCATTGTTCTTTTATCCATCTTCTGGTGCTGTCAATAGACGTCGAAGGGCTAAATCAGCTCTCCTATGCCTTTCAAAAAAAGCAGATTTCTTTTGTTTGTAACGTTTTTCCTTTCCCTCAGAAAACATGAACCCTCACTCTAAGATTTTTCTCTGTCCCTTGCAAGGGGGAAATGTAGTTTGTGTCTGTCTTTATTGCCATTACAGAAACAGCCAGGGAAGAAATCTAACTGGAGGCAGCACCATGAGGATTTTATTAATGCTGTTCAATCAGCCAAGCAAGTCACAAAAGCTCTGAAGGAAGGCCACCCTCTTCCGCCTCCTCCCCCACCAAGCATCAATCCAGGTTTGTGGTCTACTTTATCTTAGTACTGATCTTGTCCTGATCTTTGGTAAAGCAGTGACCTCTTATTATCCACAGCTGGGCTTCAGTTTTGCACCCCCCGGCACAACACAATGTGAACATTAATTCCCTCTGTGCTCTCTAATTTTCAGCTGTATTTCTTGGCTTAAATTGAGTAGGAGTGCAATGTAGAGTTGGTGGGGAGGAAGAGAAAACTAACCGCACCTTTTAAGTTTAAAGGCAGCAAGTTTGGGGTCTGATATTAGACAGTGCTTTGGGAGGAGAGTTGGGGTGCCTGTGTTCTAGCACAGGCTGTACCGTGGTATGACAGAGGATGAAATACATCCCCTCACCATTCAAAACAACTGTAGTACACACGGGCTTCCCCACTCCTGTGCGATGGCTTTTCCGCTGTCCCCTTCTCCTGTGTAGTTAGGGGAAGTCACTTAGAAAAAGGTGTGTCTGGCTCACTACTAATACGAGGTGTGGTCTCTGCACAGAGCTCACTGTGTTAGAAGTTACGGGTCCAAAAAGATGCACATACAGCTGGTATTTCTCATGGTGTGTGATTTATGAAATGTGGGAGCAATCTTGGAAGGGGTCTCAGTGGAGTCCCACCTGCGTTAGGAAGGCGGAGGGAGGGAGGGGAAAGGGGGGGCTCTCTGGGCTCACTTCCAGAGCAGGAATTCGTGACCGATAACAAAACCAGCTGCCGTGATTCCAGCCTTTCTCCTCTTCTAGACGACAGCAATGCAATATAAGCAGCAGGACACATCTTCCTTCCTTGACTGGGGTCAAGCTCCTCTCTGAATTTCCACTGCTGAATTCTTTAATGACTCCTACTTCTCGTCTGACTCTACCGACTCTAAGAGCAGACCCCTCCCTTTCCTTCTCCCTCTTGGAGGAAACAGTCATGCAAAAGCTGCTGTAGTTGTGGAGAAAGGAACTGGAGAACGGCTTTTTAGGAAAGACACATTGCTGAGGGTGTATATCCTATACTACAGGACTGGAGAGAAAGCACATAGATTGTGGGGAGGAGAGAGGGATATTCCCCTTCCCTCTCTTTCTCCTCCAAATAGAGCCCAAAACTCCCCATTCTCCCCTGAAGTGCCAGGTCCCCCTGCAAGTGCCCCCGAAGCCAGGCATCTGCACTGCCTCGTCCTCCCCTCCTGTCTTCAGAACCATTTTGCCCACGCTGCTGGTCTGGGGCTGGCTTTTGGTGGCTGCTTGGGTCACCTTATCTGGGCTGTTACTGGGAGAAATGATTTGTAAAGATACTATATCTGTAACATTAGGATAAGGACAACTTGGGCTGCTTTTGTAAAAGCCACGGGGAGGGGAGGAAGGATCTGAGGACAGCAAGGGCAGTGTGAGGGCAGAATGTGACTGCCTGGACTCCGAACACCAACCATTCATTGAAACGAGTAGGACTGCACCAGTGATAAATGTAGCTGAACAGCTTTTAGCAGAACCAGGACTATAACCCTGTCAAAAACAACTCTAGGAAGGACTGCTGTGTGTTCTTCACAATGCTGCTTCACACCCAGAAACCTGGCTCTTGGATGTGCCTCAGCTGGCGGGGCACAGCTTCTTAAGCAGTATTTTGTCAATGTCCAAAGGAAATGGATTTTGTGAAAACAACTAACAATCTTAATGACCAATCTTCAAAAGTAGTCTTAGAATCATTGGTTTAGACTACTCGAGGAATTTCTAAATATCGCTTTTTCTGCAGATACGTTAATTGTGAGGTTGGGGGTGGGAATAGGACAAAAATAATAAAATCTGCTTTTATTAATCCCCAGGGATTTATTTCTGAAAGCAATTACTGTTTGCTGGGTTAATACCGTAAGCATGCGTTTCGGGATCCCAAGTGCTTTTCTAGAGGAGGTTTTTGTAATTCTCCTAAGTTTGTACTTTGGGAGCTCATGGGAACCCACCGTGGTCATCCTGCTGACGGTGCCAGGTTTTGAACTACATCCTGAGCGCTCCAGTAAAGCAGGGCAATTCTTCTCCCATCGTGTATAAACCGTGACACGAGTTGTTCCTTTCTCATGATCAGACTACATTCAGTGTCCGCACTGCTCACGAAGGTTTAATGAGGCTGCAGCGGAGAGGCACATGAAATTTTGTGAAGAACAAGCTGCCCGCCATGCCTTTGCTGCCAAGACCACCAGACAGGCTTTGGTAAGCAAACACAGTCACACTTGCCTTGTCCTGGAGGCAGATTTGCCAAACTGTAGTTTATGGTGAGTAAAGACCTATATTAATACAAAACTTAGGACTCCAGGGAAGTTGGTAAATTCTTAAGACAAGATACATGCTGAACATCAGCTAGGAGTTCCCTGAAACTGGAGCCCTTTGAAATAAAAAGTGACAGGATATGATGGTACGAAAAAGTTGGACAACGATTTCTTTAGACTCTTCTGCGATTGGCTTCCAGGGTAACAGCGGTAGGGAAGCAGAAACCTGGCAGCTTTTGCAATACATAGAGAAAGCTCTTCCTGTTCAGTAGGGCTTCCTGCTGTTTGCAGGTTTGCTGTTCCCTGCAAATGTATAGCTGATTTACTCCCTGGTCGCTAGACACAAGGCCAAAGGGCTGGGACCCTCTGGGGAATCAGAAAAGTGGAGCTAATTGGCAGTGTCTTGAAGTGAGCTCCTATTTTATTATAGGAAAAAAAAACGTAAACAGTTCCTTCAGGAGAGTACTGATTTTCTTTTTTTTTTTTTTTAAAAGATGTTTGAAAATCTCATTAATCTTTTACCTATTTTGGGCAGGAAAAATGGCTTCCAAGTAGGAGGGGGGGCACCTTTTTTGGCTCCAAGTAAGAAGGGGGGGCGCCTTTTTCGGCTTCCTACTAGGACGGGGTGCGCCTTTTTCCTGTTCCTTCCTAGGACTGCTTCAACAGGGATTTGGAGAGTTGTCACCAGGATCTGTAAGCTCCTTGCTAGTGTTGTGTGGATTGTGCATCTTCTTTTACTAGGGCAAGCAACCAGTGACTCAGAAAAAACCCCCAACCTTAACAGCTGCTGTATTATTGCTTCAGAAGAGAGTACAAGAAGGTGCCAATACAGGCAAACCTAGGCCAGGTAAGGAGTTCATTTAGCCATATTTATGTTTTTCTTATAAAAAACTGTGATGTATTGGAGGTGGGGGGTGGCATTTTTAAAGCAGATCCTAGGCTTTGGAATCCAGTTTTCTGATAAAGTGTGAATTTTTTTTTAATTTTTTTTTTTTTTTTTGCAAGTCCAGGCCTTGACATGAAATCCTAAACTCATTTCCCCTTCCCAGGGATTGAGGTTAAAAGGGGTTAAAAATTTCCGAGTGGATGTTGTTGATATTGAATGGCTTTCCAAGTCATTATCCTGATCTGTTGTGCCGAATGTATACACAGAGGTTTTCATGCGGGTTCTCAGGAGGGGCTTCTTAGCCTTTTCAATTAGAGGTCCTCAAACAGGCGTCTCTAAAACGTGCAGTCTGGGTGTGAGGTTCTGTCTGTCCCATAAAGGACTCCATAACCTTTAATCTTCGATTTTAAAAGATTTATTCCATCTTTTTTATATTTTCTGAAGTCCATTTAGACGAAGCATCAAGCTTTGTATGTTGTTTGTTCCATCTGACTTTCCCCCTGTTGATTCAGCCTCAAAATTAACACCATCACATCCCTAAAACAGTTCCCTCTAGGCAGGGTACCATACAATATGTTTGCCAGCACCCATTGCTACCGGTAATTATGACCTGTACTCAGTCTATATTTAGAAGATGTTTTATAAAGTTATTTTAGTTGTTATTTGTAGTATAAACTGTGAATGATAATACATACTGCTCTGTGTATCAATATCTTTGATCCCTGAATTTCTGGGTTTTATATTGAATTTATGTAGGTTATAATTTTTTATGGCCAATAGTTTTTTTTAAATAATGATCTGCAGAGACCTCTCCAGGAATACTGCAGAAAACCAGAAAATCTCTGGGTGTATCTACTGGAAAAAAATCTTCAGGAGAATTTGGGTAAGAAATATTTTTTTATTTCAATGTTGTAACATAAAGCATCGTTTGCTTTTGTGTATACACAATATCCTGTTGCAGTGTTTGCAGTATGAACTTCTTTGTATTAATTGAAGCAATCAATTGCACCGAAAACTTTTGCAGAGCTCCTCATGTCCCCAGTATAGGCTGCTGAGAATATTCATTTTGGTGTTAAATGCTCTTTGGTCTGGAGCAGCTCCATCTCAAGTAGGCAGTGACTGTGTTCTGCAGTAACAGGCATCTTGAGAGGATTTGCTGTTGATAATGCAAACCTGTCTAGCAGGTCTTGTGCTCTCACGATGTGCTTCCATTGTCCGAGTGAGGAAGATGCCAGCATCCGTTTCAGTAATCACTGTGTCAGGATGACGGTGTGGAGGTTCTTCCTTCTCCTCAATGTTTACTTTCCCAGACCATGATGTTTGGTGCTTCTGCTCTTCAGACCATGCAGTCAGTGTTGTTCCCATCTAGGGCCACGCAGAGCCACGTCAAAGCAGCAAGGTGGCCTTCCAGCCCCTGCTTAAGGTGGTTGTAGTGCTGTTGTGCAAGGGAGTGTCTCAGATGATCGGCATCTTGCACCCCTGTGAGATACATAAGACTGCAGAGTACGAGATCCTGGCAGGGAATGTGGCCAAAATGGATTTCCTGTAGCTGGCAAGGTATTTTGAACCTGCGAGCTGAGCTTGTAAGAGTGCTTGGAGCGTGGGACGAACAGTAATGTGCACAAAACAGTCTGTTGCAGAGACTCACATTCAAAGTCTTTGTAGAGTCCTTCTATGTGGAGTTCTGCTGTCCTTGATTGCTGCTGGTCAGTGGCTAAGTACCTTCAACTGCAGGGAAGTCTGCAACGGGCATGGGAGTGTTCAGTCCAGAGTGCCATCATCAACTCTACCTACCCCCTTGACTTTGCCAGCTACAGGAAAAACTATTGACAGTACCCAGTGGTGTCATGTGGTGTTCTCCACTCCCCGAATTACCTGTGACTATGTTAACAGTGTAGTAACTCTTACAGTTATCACGCAGGGTCTTGCAGACCACCAGCAGGGATTTATTGATACCATCACCATCCTCAAGGTTTAGCTACTGAACTCCAAAACTCAGG